TTGTACATTTATTGTGCACTTCAATCTTTATCTCCATTATTAATGAGAAATGCAAAGGCTTATCAATAGATAATCTTCTTTTTATTCTCTATGAGTTTCATGGTTTTTTTATTTATTTATATATTTGTAGTTGAAACTTGAAAGTATAAGCTGTTAACACAATAGGTTAGTTAACTGATCAGAACTATTCTGCTTCTTTAATAGATTAAAAGTTCAAGTATTTGTTTAGAGTCTCTCATTCTTATATTGAAAACTTACATGCAATGTTGTGAATCTCGTGTCATAGCGGTTGGTGCATGCCATATTAGAGAAGAAAAAAAACAGGATACACATATGTCAAATCTATTTCGTCTAATTTCTCGATGGATTCTCTTAATACCAGACAATACTGGCTGGAAAATATAAATCTGCGGAATTGAATGATACGCAATTTCTGAATTTTTGATTTTATATATAGTATCAAGTATATTTATTAGTGGTTTGTAATATTAAAATAGTAAAAACTTGTTTCATACGCACTGTGAGTATCTAAATTCGTATTATGTAATAGACATGATATGTTTTTAAGCCTCTTCTACACATAAATATGTGTTTTATTATTTGCTACTAGATAATATTTTTTGCTATAAATTCAAAAATAGTACCCAAAAACATACCGATATCGATAGCTAAGTACCGTATCAATTGAAAAAACGATACTTTATCCCGTACAGATTAACAATTTTGCTTACATGTAATTATGGTTTATGTTATATTTGATCCACATAATAACCGTTAATTTATTGTACTCAACTTTTTTGTGTTTATGATTTATTACACTCAACTAGTATTATATTAATTGTATTTATTTTGTCTTAACTTTATGTTTAACTTATATCTTCATCTAGCTCATATTAATTATAAAAATTTAATTCTTAATTCACAACTTATAGAACTTATATTTACTTAAATAACTTTATTAACTATTACAAATTAAACAACATTTTATTTTTATCTTTTTAAAAAAAACCTACCAAACTTAAGCAAGTGAAAAAAACTAAAGGTAATAAAATAACCTCTCCAACCTCTCCTAAGGTTTAGGGAAAATACAGCAAAATTCACAATTTTAGTATAATTATATTAATTTTTCTTTTAATAATGCTAAGGTTATCAAAATTAATGCATGTTGTGTGAAAGTATAAAGATAAATAAAATAAAATATATATTTCAATGTAAAAGAGATATTGACATTATTTTTCTATCAATTTGATTGGCATGTTACTAGTAAAAAGTTGGATGAGTGTTAGAGTTTAATATAATTATACCAAATATGTAAAACTTATTGTATTTTCTCCAAATTTCAAGAGGTCGGTGTAATTTACCCCAAAAATTATTGGGGCATTTATTCATAAATCACTCTTCACGTACTTATGTTCCACTTAGTCTAAATTATTTTCTTAGGCTTGGTTTGGCTAGATAGATAATATAGGAAATTGAAAGAAAAAGAAAAAAAATAATTTTTTATGTGTTTGTTTAGATAAAGAGTCCTAAAAATTAATGGAAACTAAAGTTTCTTGCACAATTCAAATTAATTTGCTAGTTAGGCTAATAATTTCTTGCAAAATATACAGAAAATTTTGTTTTTTTGCACAAATTTTGATAAGGTTTATTTTATTTTTCTTTTTGCCCGTGTTTCTTTCCCCAACTCCTTATTATATAGTGATTATTATTTTTTTCCAATCATTTACTTTCAAAAATTTTCATCTATTCAAATGCATGCAAGAAAATAAATTTTCATTTCTTTCGCTTTACTTTCTACCATTTTCATTTTCTACAATCCATTTCTTTCTAAACATATAGAGCCCTATGTCCTATAGATGACATAGTTATCAAAATATCTCTAATAATAATAGGGTGAAGTGCTCATTAATGTTCACATTGACAGTGTGGATATTTCATGATGTGAATATTCACACTGTCAAATTTATTTAATGTGAATGCTTACATCGCAAAATTGCTAAGGGTTCAAAATATTTGCAAGAGTAAAATTGTTTATAAAATACCTTAAATATGAGAATTAAGATGATGAATCAAACGTCAAAATAATAAGATTTATTAAAATATAAGAATATCTTATAAACTAATTGAAATAGAAATACTTGAAATAGAATTTTCTAATAAATTCTTCAAAATTGGAGAATCGATAAAACATACATATACTTTTAAAAATGGGATTTTTGGTAAAACCCCATTTTTGGGCCTTTTTATTAGGGTAAAGGATAACTCAATCAATTTTCTTTCAAAAAACCCCTGAGTAAGAAATGCTTACCTTAATAAGGACATTTTATAATTTTTTTTTTATCACAATATTGCCCTTCTATATATACGTATCATACATTTGAAATATTTGAAATCTGAGCTGAAGATCTCGCAAGAACGAAATCGATGAAGACGATCTCCAAATCTAAAGATCTCGCAGTCAAAGATCTCTCACTAAGTCAACAATAGACGATCTCGTCGTCGACAATCAATACTCTCAATTAAACGAGAGTTTCATTGAGATTTGTGATTGTTGATCGAGTTTTAGAAGTTTTTCTTCTCAATTAGACATGTTGATTTGTTAATTAATTTTTTTTTTTTTATTTTATTTTTTGTTATTTTTGATCTGATTTCATTTAACATAATCAGAGTAAAATTTTACTCTGGCTCTATTGCTCTATTTTTTGTTTCAGATAATGAGAGTAAAATTTTACTCTGGTTCTATTGCTCTGTTTTTTGTTTGAGAGAATTAGAGTAAAATTTGACTCTGGTGTTAGAATGACAATAAAATTTTACTGTCAAGAGGTGGTCATTGCCAAACACTTCAGCCGCTACAAAACACTGCCTCCACTTTTTTACTTTTGTACAGAGTAACATTTTACTTTTAGATTCAGAGTCTAACATTTTACTCGTTTTTCAGAGTAAAATTTTACTTTTATACAGAGTAAAAAAATTTTTTTGTGCAGAGTCTAACATTTTACTAGTTTTTCAGAGTAAAATTTTACTTTTATACAGAGTAAAATTTTACTTTTAGTTTCAGAGTGTAACATTTTACTCTTATTCAGAGTAAAATTTTACTTTTATACAGAATAAAATTTTACTTTTAGTTTCAGAGTGTAATATTTTACTCTTATTCAGAGTAAAATTTTACTTTTATACAGAGTAAAATTTTACTTTTAAATTTATGGTGTAACATTTTACTCTTAGATTCAGAGTGTAACATTTTATTCTTATTTCAGAGTAAAATTTTACTTTTATGCAGAGTAAAATTTTGCTTTTACATTCATGACTTAAGTTGTGTTGGTGACACACTGTATGAGTTGTCAATCTTTGGCAAACCTAAGAGTAAAAATTAATTCTAAAATATAGTACAATATTACACTAAACCACAGTAAAATTTTATCAACACAAATTGACTTTTGGACTTGTGGTAACAGTAACATTTTTCTTTGTAGTGATAGTAAAACTTTACTTTGATAGTGACATTAAAATTTTACTTTGATTGATAGTAAATTTTTACTGTTAATTGTTTCATATTTCCCCACTTATATGGAAGGACATTTCAATCAATTCATGACATTTTTTTAATTGAGGGATTTTTAAAGTATTGTTTAATTCCTTGGACTTCACACAAAATAGATCTAATAGGAGAGGCTTTTCACCAAAAATCCCTTTAAAAATTTCGTGTCTATTGGACTAGGCCGAATTACGATCTTCGGTATGCGAGTTTGTAAGGTTGGGGTTGGGTTTGGGCTTTGATTGGGCTTCAAAATCTAAACCCAGACCTACTTAGATTGTGGGCTATGCCCGAGCCTTACTCAAGTCAATTTTTGGGCCATAAACCATGTTTGCATCATTCTTAAGCCCATGCATAATTTTTTCCAATCAAACTTAATGCAAAACTAATGTATGCATACCAAACAGTGTTTGATAGTTCATTCGTCCCCTATATCAAGAGAAGAAAATAAATGCTAAAGTCATAAGGAGAAAGTGAAAGTTTATTTTTGAAATAAGTTGTTTTTTTTAAATTAGAATTAATTCCACTTTTAAAAAAATAAAAATAATATATCAAATAAGTTTTCAATTTCAATTTCAATTTCTCAAAAAATAGAAATAAAAAGAGGTTATATTGGCCTTTCCAAAAGTTTTAATTCATATATTATTTAGATAGTAACTTGTTAGTTGAATAGATAAAAATATGATATTCTTTTTTTTTCTATTAAAATTTTACATTTTATTTCTTTCAATTTCTACCTATCATATACATTAATTTTAATTATTTAAAGTTTGCTAATAAAAGAGATATCAATATAATTATGTCAAACTTGTAAGAACTATTTTTGTTTTTATCAAACCTCAAGAAATATGAGTGTAATTTACACTTCTTTTCTTTAACAAAAATGCTAAAATCTCAAATAAATAATTAAATATTCTACTAAATATACATATGAGAATATTTGATAATATATTTGGAGTCCTATATTGCTATTTTGTTTTTAAGGATCTAGTCCCTCTCGTCTACCATCAAACTAGTGAGTGTTGTTGGGTTATGGTGGGTTCATTTTGATAATTCAAATCGTTCAATATGTAAAACTTGTTGATTATATCATCTCTGTAAAAAAATCACGTCATCACAATTTACTTTAAAAATCATACTAATTGTTGACATAAATATGATATGATCAAGTGATTATTAATATTCAATTACCGTGATTTTTTCAGAAAAGATATACTCAACGAGTTCTTCACATTAAATAATTTGAATTATCAAAATAAACTTGTATCAGGACCCGCCACAGTCCAATAATACCCTCCAATTAATTGTTGGAAAATGCTATAGGTTCCAAATTTTTTACCAAATAAATAACCAAATGTCTCACATAAGGTAATTTCTAGAACTATAGAGAATAATTTATAATTTAAATAAATCTCAAATGGTGTGTTTGTAATTTATCCTTTTAAAATCATTTTGGAGCACCAAACGGAGCCTTAACAGGTCAGCGCCCATACTAGTGTTACCCTGCACCAAAATCACATATTTTCATGAGATGATCAAAACCTCTACAAAACCCTAATTTTGTTTTCTTCTCTGATTCAAAGAATTCGATCAACAATGCTTCGAATCCATCGATCTCGTCGATCTCTCTCTAGACTCTCCAATATCGTTCGACCCTTTTGTACTACACAAGTGTCTGCAAACCCTCCCAAAGAAAATGTTCTCTCTCCTTCCACTACTCTGATCAACGATCAAACCCCTCCAGTTCCTCCCACCGATCCCACGGCCAAAACCCCCTTGAATTTTCTCAAGTTCGCTCTTTTCGGTGCCCTCGCCGGAGCCTCGGTCGCCGGCTGTTACGCCACTTACGGTTCGTTCTTTCTTTTTTTTTCTTGAATTTTATTTATGTATTATGTTTTTCAAGATCTAATGATCTAACCCATTTTCTTAATCTTGAACATTTCAAAGATCAATAATTTTGGGGAATTCAGGTGTCGTGTTGATTGGTGAGCTGATGATTTATGAAAATCTCACGTGTTTGATTCTATTATTAGATTAATTGTGTTACTTTACTTTGAGAAAATGAAAAAATAAAAATTAAAAAAAAATGGCTATAATGTATAAAAATGGCTGTGTGTAGAATATAATAAATATTTTATTTGAATTTAACTGTCTTGATTAATGGAGGCAAGAGCAATTATTATTGGTGTTGGAGTATTATTGCCAGGAAGAGTGATAATGTCTTTTATCTTTCTTCTAAATAAAAATAAAAAACAATTAATTTTTATTTAAATACATACAAGACCAAAATAGGGTGCAAAGTCGCTGAAAGCCCTTATTTTAAGTTCCTCCGAGATACATAGCTTACATACCGGGCTCAACATTCTTGGAAACCAATGGAATTGAAGGTCGAGAGAGAATTGGCCTTCGAGATGGTGTATATCATCATATGCAGTATTGCGTGTTTGCTTTTTCAAAAATGTTAATGAAACTTGTATATGCAGCATACTCCTTGGAAGAAGTGGACCAAAAGACAAAGGCTTTCCGAGCTTCTGTTAATTATGCTGTTGGAGATAATGCACCTAGTCTTGATGTAAGTATGACATTTGTAATTTTAGTTCTGTTAGAAATTATATTGTTTAGATTTTTTTTTTTGGTCCGAGACATGATTGAAAAAGAAACAACCCTATTGAACCTTATTATACTTGTTGACTTGACTGTTCCATTATGTATTCTGTTTTAAACCAAAACATATGTTTTGCAATGCATTGCCCTGCTGAAGGAGAGCCATATTTCTAGCTGGATGCATATTTTGGCACATTATTATTAGTGTTAAATACAGTGCTTAGCTGTTACTATGTTGTAAACTAAAGAATCTATTAAGGGATGTAAACCTTTTATATCAAATATTAGTATTTGGACGATGTATCCTTTCTCTGCAGTAATTTGAGGGAAATCGAATTAAGATAAGGCCTAATGTAAGCTTCCCTACGACCAAATATGTTGGCCTAGGGTTTTAGTTAAGAGTTAAATGGTTTGAAAATTGGGTTTAGGATTTGAGGATGGGATATAGTGATTAGAATGATTGAGGTTTGAGGCTGTTTTGGATATGAAATTTAAGGAAGCAACTGGTGAGATTTTCTAGGCTGCAAAGAAATTTTAATTTTTTTAGGGTTAAGGTTTTCAGGTTAATAGAGTTTCCAAGAAAGGCTGGATCTCACTAAGGTTAGAACCTTAGAATCTCGCTAAGGATTTCTAGGGGTCTCACCTGAAGAACTAATGGAATTTTACCAGAAAATGCTATCAATTGACTTGTCTAATTGCTTTTACAAAAAGGTTGCTTATATAGAAGTAGAATTGCTTTTCTTCTGGGAAATGATATCTTGAATCCTACTTGACTAAGGTTTCTTAAACAAATTAAGACAAATATTATTATACAAGTAAGGACCAAACAAACCGCATTCTTTGGATTTCACTGCTTTGTTAGTAATTGTTAGGGAGTTTTAAGTACCAAAAAAATTTGGTAGTGGGTAGGGTGTTAAGGGAGGGGAGATCTGGGAAGGGGGTGACAGGGAGGGGAGAGGGGGTTGGGCTATGAAGTACGGACACCTCTCCGGCAGCAATGTGTGGGTGTTCGACATGTGTCAGACACGGACACGCAATCACTCTCTTTAACGTGTCCAGAATTTTTTTTGATTTTTTTCCAATCTGACACTTTGCGGACACACTCACAGACACTTGAGGGACACTATGTGTGAGAGAGAGAGAGAGAGAGAGATCTTCTCTTCTTCGTCTCATCGTCTTCGTTCTTCTCCCTGTTTGGTTGTCTTCTTCTTTTTCCTTTAGACTCTGTTTTGTAGTCTCTCTCTCTCTCTCTCCTCCGTTTTTGTCTCTCTTTTTTTCTTCTCTCTCTTTTCTATTTAATTATAAATTTTCTGAACCCCTTTTATGAGGTCAGCTATTGGATAAGAACAACTTTGGCAATCCCTCTAATTTTTAATATTCATCTTTGGCCCTAACATGCATAGAGCAAATTAATTTTATTTGAATAAAAAATAAATTTCTTGAAATTGCTTAATTTATTTATTAGTTAAAGTGTTGAATTGATGAATAGTTGTATATATATATTTTTAAATATTTATTAATGTTATTTTGCATTTTTTATTACTTCTCAATTTTTTTAAAAAGAAATTATGACATAATAAATAAATAAATAAAATTATATATTTTGAGCGTGTCTCCAGCGTGTCGTGTCTCTTATTTTTTGAAAATTTGCGTGTCCGCGTGTCTGTGTCGTGTCCATATTGTGTCACATGTCCGTGTCCGTATCCGTGTCCGTGTCCGTACTTCTTAGGGGCTGGGAGAGGGGAAGGGAAGGGAAGGGAGAGTTGGGCGGTGGCAGCACTTGCTGACGGAGAGGAGAGGGGTGGCGGTGAGTGGTGGTAAGAGAGAACGGGTGGTAATAGAGAAGCGTCAGTGGTGGTCGGCTGGTGCTGGTGGAGGTGGAGGTGGAGGTGGAGGTGGTGAGGGGGTCCAAATCCTTATTTGAAAACTGGCTTCATAATATCTGCACGGTTGTTATTAAGAATACAATAACAGCCACACACACCACACAAAAAAACAAACACTACCACCAACCATCCAACCCACACCACTCCTCACTTCTACTCTCTCTTTCTCTCTTTGTCAGACAAATTTTATGAGAAATTAGGGTTTTAATTTTTTTGGGTTTTTAAGTCCTTCAAAATGGTAATTTTAGAGTGACAAATTGTAATTTAAAAAAATAAAACTGAGGGGGTGTAGTGAGACAGTTTTGTAGTGTAAATAGAAGCACCCCTAATGTTGTAAAATAACTAGTAAAATTACGAAATTGTCTGGAATGTTTACAAAACGTGCTTGGACTTTAAAAATATATTTTTCCTAATGAAAAGATATTAGAGTTGATTGGGGTCATCCAAAACCAATAGATATTAGCTCCCAATCATGTGATAGCAATGGTGGGAGCCATTGGTCCATTGGTGGGGCCTACATCGCTGTATTTTTTTTATTTTTGTCCTTTTCCAAATGTCACAGGCTGTAAGATGCCATTCTCCATCAAAGTGACTCCAATGTTGGTAGAATCACTATTCTTTTTAGACATGCGTTGTAAATTTCCCAAAATTCTAACTTTCTTTTTTTTCCCTCTATCCTTGTTGCAGAAGTTTCAAGGTTTGCTTTATACTGCTGCAATGACAGGTGAGCACCTGTGCCTTCTAACTATCTTCCTGTTCCTTGCCCTCCATTCTTCTCCCCCTCTTAAGATATCAAGTGCTTGGAATTTTCTGTGCTCTTTTTTCATGCCTTCCTATTTTTCACGCTCAATCCAACTTTTCTCGATATCTCATTAACAGTTAAATTATGTTTTGTGCTGATGCATTTGTCATTCTTTTTTGTTGTTTGTCGGTGTATGACCAATAATTGTGTTTATTCTGTTTTCACAATTCTAGTACCTGCTAAAGCCATTGAGCTTTACTTGGACCTCAGGAGTAAAATTGAGGAACAAGTTCAGGTGAGTAATCCAGACTCCAAGTTGTCTTTGTAGCATTGTTACCCTGTCCTTTTGATGCCTGATCTTACCATTTTTATGAACATGGTTGTAGGGTTATACTGAGCCTTCCTCGGAGAAGCTTCTTCCAGATTTGCATCCGTTGGAACAGCATGTATTTACACTTGTGCTGGATCTCAACGAGACTTTAGTTTACTCTGATTGGAAGGTATGCTTTATTATGTTCTGCATGTCACACGTTTATTGGCCTCCTAAATTTATGACATAAGTTGGCATGATCTTATCAGATCGAGGTACTGCTATTTTCTGTACTTTATAGGCTGTTCTATTTCTATACCTTTTCATGTCTTAAATTTGAGCCGGCACACCGATGGTTTTTGTTTTAAGTTTTTTGAACTTAGTGATTGTGTGTTTTGTGATGCAAAGCGTGAAAGGGGTTGGCGCACTTTCAAAAGGCCTGGGGTGGATGATTTCCTTGAACACCTAGCTCAATTTTATGAGATTGTTCTGTATTCAGACCAGCCGAGTATGGTAAATTTTTTCTTCCTTATTTTGAGGTGCTACATTTTCTTTTCTCAGTTTGAGAATATGCAATGTTTATTTATTCATTTATTATCAATTTTTCTTTTAATGTGTAGTATGTTGACCCCATTATGGAAAGACTCGACACAAAGGGATGTATAAGATACAAATTGTCAAGAAGTGATACTAAATACCACAATGGAATTCACTACCGGGTCAGTAAGAACTGATGAACCATGGCATAGATCTGTGTGTTAATAATAAGTTTATACTGTTTTTGGCATTTGTCCCTTGTACTTTTTTTCAAATTTAGTTTTTTGTTGCAAACATTACACAATTACCAAGACTGCTTTGGCTGGAACTTTGTAGTTTTGTTGAAATATTCATAAAATGAGTGTAGCTGAGACAAGAATACTTAGATGGATGTATGGTAAGACTAGCAAAGATGGAATTAGAAATTAATATATTTTTGAAATGGTAGCTGTAGTTGTAGCAGTAGCATCAACTATATAGGAATCAAGCTGATGTGTCATATAATGAAAGTGTGGGAGAGAGTAATGGAACGTCGATTGCGAGATATAACAGAAGTGTCAGAGAATCAATTTGGATTTATGCCGGGTAGGTCAACAATGAAAGCGATTTGTCTTTTAAGGAGAGTAATAGAAAAATATAGAGAAAAGAAAATAAAAGAAATATTTATATGGTTTTTATCAATCTTGAGAAAGCATATGATAGAGTGTCTCGGGATATAATCTGGTAGGTGTTAGAGAAGAAAGGGGTGAGAAAATGGTACATTGATGTGATTAGGGACATATATGAAGGTGTGGTGATCACAATTAAATCGTCTGCTGGAGAGATAAGTGAATTTCTAATTACTATGGGATTATACCAAGGATCAACCTTAAGTCCTTATCTTTTTACTTTAGTTATAGATGAGTTGACAAGAAATATTCAAGAGGATATGTCATGGTGTATGCTTTTTGCAGATGATATCGTGTTAGTGGTTGAGATTAGAGAAGGAGTTAACACTAAGTTGGAAACTTTGAAAGAAGCACTTGAATCTAAAGGATTTGGGATAAGCAAAATTAAGACAGAGTACACAGTGTGTAATTTTAGTAACAATAACAATGGAAGCATATGAGAAGTGAATATTGAGAATCAAGAACTGCCTAAGAGTGAACATTTTCGTTATTTATAATCGATTATCACAATGGTTGGGGAGATTAGAGCGGATGTGGTCTATAGAATTAAGGTAGGGTGGCTTAAGTGGAAAAGTGCGTTTGGGATACTATGTGATAAACGAGTACTCACTAGACTAAAAGGAAAGTTCTATAGAACGGCTATTAAACCAACGTTGTTGTATGGGACGGAATGTTGGGCAACTAAGAAACAACATGGAGATAAGATGAGTGTTGCTAAGATGATGATATTAAGGTAGATATGTAGTGAGATTAGAAAAGACAGAATTAGAAATGAGTATATTCGTAAATGAGTAGATGTAGCATTGATAGAAAATAAGTTGAGAGAGAATAGATTGACATGGTTTGGTTAGATACAACGAAGACTAACAGAGTCAGTAGTGAAAAGATGTGATACAATGACGGTAGATGGAAGTGTTAGGGGAACAGGTAAACCTAGATTGACGTGGGCGAGTGTAGTAAATAGAGATATGAATCTCTTTAATTTAACTAACTAGATGGCCATTGATAGAGTCAGGTGGAGAAGAAGGATTAGCTGATTTCATTTGATAGGACTTAAGGCAAAGCTTGGTTTGGTTTGGTTTGGTTTAGCAGTAGCATCAATTGAAGATAAGTGGAGAGAGAGAACAAGTCAAGATGCAACAATAAGAAATAGTGATATCATTAGCATAAATGGAAATGTCAGTTTAATTTAACTGAGTATATTCCCTTATGTTGTTGTTGTTGTTTTGTAAGTTTGAGTTTCCTTAAACTATTAGAAAATTAAATTGCATAGCATGCAAACTGTATTCTGGCAGGACCTATCAAAACTGAACAGAGATCCTTCAAAAATTCTCTATGTGAGCGGTCATGCACTAAAATCCAGTCTTCAGCCCGAGAATTGTGTTCCTGTCAAGCCCTGGAAGCAAGAAGCAGATGATACAGCTCTTGTGGACCTCATCCCATTTCTTGAATGTAAGCTTTTATGTAAAGAACATTTGACTTGTATGTTTTGCTTGTGCAAATTATTATAATACTGGATAATTGTGGCAACTGTTGAATGTTTTAAAATATATTATTTTCTTGGTCTGACACAGATGTTGCTCGCCATAGACCAGCTGATATAAGACCCGTATTGGCCTCTTATCAAGGACGAGACATAGCAACTGAATTTATTGAGCGTTCTAAAGAACATCAGAGGTATTTTTCTTTTTCTTTTTTTCTTTTTTTTTTTTTTTTTTCAGCAACAAACAAAGATTTATTAAGGCTCAACAAGGCCAAGAAAAAAGAGGATAAGATATCCTCTTACAACAGAAATGGAAAAACCAAAAAGAGAAGAAAAAACAAAAATACCAAACTCAAAAAACTTCTACATAGAACAAACTGACACCCAATCTGAAGACAAACACATAGCATCTACATTACTTTTTCTTTCTCAAAATTTTGATAAAAGTTGAAAATACTGTTAGTTGAAAGTGAATCTAAATATTAAATCAAATTTGATTTAACTTCAACAGGTATGATAAATAATTTGCATAAGGAACGTAAGCTTAGGTGCCTTAAATTAAAAAGGATTATTCAGTGCCTGGTTCATATAAATTGCACCCTACTTCTTTTCATGAATGGCTGCCAACTCGTCTGTGAGTAACCCCAAACCTCTCCCTAGAAACCTAGGGGTACAATCACTAGAGTTGTTAGTTGTAATCATAGCATATTAAGTAAAGTAGTAAACCATTAGTTTAGCATAAATCACCTAATCTCTTATGTTTGGTACGTGGGAAGCTACCTACAACATGGTGATAGCATATGTAGGGGCTGTTTGGTGCCAGCTTATAGAGGTTGCTTATAGATTTTATTTTTATTTTGAGAGCTTGTATCGGTGTGTGGTGTAGGTTCTGCTTATAGCCTTTAAGGCAAAAATGGCTTTAAAAAGTTGATTATCTGGAAGCTGGTAAGGGATGTTTTTAACTTTGCTTTTTTATTATCAACTAGGCCTGGAGTTCAAGTAATTGTAAGAAAATATAAATTTGAAAAGAAAATACACTTGGAATATATGATCATAGAGGTCTACAAAACACGAAATTAAGTCCCTACTTGGGCTTTCCCCTGGTTGGAGTGTTAATGGCAGTTTACTCTATACAGACATCATGTCAAAATATATATATATATATAATTTTTTTTTTATTGACACTGGGGTGTCCGGATCCATCATGTCAAAATATATTATAAATGTTTCCTTAAATACATCAATTAGTGACTAGAACAAATGGTTTGTTCACTCTAACAAATGGCTTATTATATGGCAAATTGACGTGCAGGCGGATGCTAGAACAGAAGCAGCATGGGTTTTTCTCGCGGCGTTGAGGGGTCTGCAGTAAGAAGAATGAAATGGTGGGTATTTGAGGAGACTTAAGTCTGCAAATGAAACGGCGGATGATTTAGGTATATGCAACAATTTTGGACCATCATAATGATCATTAATTACATTAGAGGCTGTGGGACATGACACTGATTCAGGTTTAATGATATCGATTTTACTGCATCATACCAAAACAGTTTCTTAGATTGTTCTCTAATTCTTCAAGAAGCATTAAGGTTCCTTGTGAATCACAGTTTTGATTTGGCCAGTCAATTGTTGTATCTCTCTATTGAGTTCTCTTTTGTGGAAGTGTCACGAAGATAGGAGGATGATTGCACAATTTGCTTGTCATTATTATCCTTTGGGGTTTGCTTAACAAGAAGCATAAGAACATAGTATCGGACACAAAATATATCGGGCATGATTTTTTAGAAGTGGGCTCCACTCGTAAATCTAGTAAAATTCTGTCTGTGTTTTGCGATGTCCAATTTTGTGTTCCTAGACTACTTGTAAATCTCTATGTGAAGTGTTTTTTTCACTTCAATGTTGTATTTGAATCTTAGATTTGGAGACAGATTTGTGATGAGAGAAGAAAATGAAAGGGAATGTGAAAATACATATATAATTTAATTTATATTTTATTCATATTTTTATCTTTTCTTTTCACAAATTCCTCCTAATTCCTCCTAAATTTAAGATCCAAACAAAGCTGAAATTGTCCTGAAATTAATTGGTTATTACTTTTTGTTTTTGTACTCAAATGGTGAGTTTTTTGTTGAATCTGAGAACCATTACTTGAAAGAATCAAATATGACAATGGTGATCATATTGTGTTTTCTTTTCTAGAATAAAACCTAAAACTACAATGTGAATTGCTGATGAATGAATTGCTTTTGCATCTGATGTCTATTTCTGGTAAAGGGTTTTTTTTTTAATTTTTATGTTGTCTATTTGAATGGGTGAATTACACTTTTCAACCTTTAGATTTTTATTTAAATTTCAAAGGTGAAAATTGTAATTTATCCTTCTTTTATTTGGCAAAAGACAAAAATAAATAACAACTTTGGTGTACACTTTTTTTTTGTGAAATTTGTTACCATATTTTTAGAAACAAAAACAATTCCCAAAATTACCAAACAAGAAATTTGTGTTTTTTTTATTAATTGTTTTGAATTTGAAACAAAATAGTGTTAAAGAATACTTAACAAGTGTACTAACAAACCTTCCAACTAAACACGATATGGATCCTACTTTAAGTGATGGCATATAGGCTAGTAATTGTAGTATTACTGATAAAATTATATTGATGTGACTCTATAATAAACATTGATGATGTAATAAAAATTACGTCAACAATAATTTAACTCATTCATTTTTGGAGAAATTACAAATAGATGGGACAATTACAAAATAATTATATTAAAAATAAAAATCTTTTTTGGTGCAATTCTGATATACAAGAAGAGTTGCACCAAGCACAGAAATAAATTTGCACCATATATACAGAAGAGTTGCACAATCATTAAAATGTAATTTTTTTACCATTATTCCACTAAAATGCAATTTTTTCTTTTTTTTTCTTGTTATTGTATCATATCATGTTTAGTCTATATCCAATTCATGTTGTATGAACATGGCATGAAACTATTCTATACTAGATAAAATTATTCATAAAAAAAAAAATGAATTAAATTTATTTTCTTCAATTTACAATAATTATACTTGATTATTCTATATTTTTTATTAGATTCACTCTACAACGTTAAATAAATAAATACAATATTATGAACAAAAAATTACATTAGCCTTAAAATCCTGTATTTTTTTATTTAGCTTGGTGAAGTTATATAAAAGGTTAAAAAATATCATGTCACCCTTAGTAAAAATAACAATAAAATGTATAATTAATTTTTCAATAAATATGTTAGTCATAGGTTAATCATGCCATCATCATTTTATACGGTTTGACATTAACTGAATCGTTCAATATTCTTATTATCAAATCATATTATAAAATAGTCAATCTTAACTATACCCAACTTGAATAGGATTGGACCTAAGATTTTGGTCCATAAATTAGCCCAATCAAAGCCCACAAGTGGGTATGGACTCCACTTCCACAACACAACTCGAGATTGACCTTTAATCCTAACTCATAATGGGGAGGACACCAGATCCAATTCATTATTTACATTGTGATTCCAGATCTTCTTTTAAGCCCAATGGGTCACCACTTCTAATGACACAACGGTTCATTTCAAAATGGGGAAATAACAACACAGTGGGGACAGGAAAAAAATTTATAAATCCATGATAAAGTTTATCCACTTCAATAATTAAATTTTTATACTTTTCATGATTTTATAATTTTTTTTTTTTTACTATTCCATTCTACTCTTATTTCCCCTTTTAAAATCCCAACTTGTTAGGTGAGTCCCTCCCATTTTTGTGTAATATAATTAAGTCATTACAAATGTTACTTAGCTACTTATTAAATAATGGCCTAATCATATAGAGGTAATCTCTGGAATTAGACCCCCTGAGAGTCAAGGTTGCAGAGGTCCCCTTGTAGTGCTACATAGTATGACTACTCAATTATTTAGCAGTAAGTCACAATAGATTAGGATTCGAATCCACACCCCCAACCATTGGAAATACTTTGTCTATGCTTGAAAGGTTCATCATACCTATGTGTTATTGCTTGAATGACAACATCAAAAAGAATTCAACCTATGACCTTGATATGTGGGGTGGTTTGGCTAAACAACAGTTTATTTGTTTGTTTGTTACAAGTTGTTAAATCATTTCTCTACTTTCTGTACATTTTTTCATAAAAAATTAAAAAATCACTAAATAAGCAAACCCCAAACATCTTTCTATTCAATCAAACCCCTTAGCTCTTTTTGTTTTCAGAGATGAAGGGTTGGGTTGGATTGGACTGACAGTGAGAAGGGACTCACAAACATCATATTTATTTTGAAAATCTACCATGGGATTAATAATTCCATGAGCCTATGAAACCCCTCCAAGAAGGGGGACTAGCAACCCTATGGGGGGAGTGGTATTTAAATCCAATCCCATGAGATTAGAGGTGAATGATTATTCACTTTACGAAAATAACCAGGTTACCTTTTATAATGAGAAGGCAGTTGGTTCCCTCCAGTTTCAGATCGGGCTAAAAGGTGCTATTGGATCCGTGGAGGTCCATCACGGATCTCGTTTTAATAATCCAAACCGTTTAATGTGTGGAACTCGCTGCATACAATATGCTTGTAAAAAATCGCGTTGATCGGATATCGATAGTTATCTCATCGGATCAGTTTTCTATCAATCATTTATTTTTTCATCGTCTATTTTTTTTATTATTATACAAAACTGATTTAATAACATAACTATCAATGTCCGATCAACGTGATTTTTTACAAGCAGATAATACTAAACATATTCTACATATTAAGGTGCTGTTTGGTAACACTTACTTTTTCAGTTTTCTGTTAATATTTACAAAAATTTTAAAAACTCAAATAAAAACTTATTTGGTAAAATTTTTGATTTATAAATCAGTGGTCTCAATTTATAAATTTGGCCAAAAAATGAAAACACAAAAAATGTGTTTCTGTTTTGAGTTTTGAGTTTTTTTTTTTTACCACCCAACATTAGCCACCACCCGTCACCATTTTTCACCACCGTCTTCCGTCACTACCACCCACCACCCACCCCCTACCACCACCACCATTACCCACCACCCACCACCACCACCACCACCACTCACTCGCTAACCACCACCACCACCACCACCACCACCACCACCACCACCACCACCACCACCACCACCACCACCACCACCACCACCACCACCACCACCACCACCACCACCACCACCACCACCACCACCACCACCACCACCACCACCACCACCACCACCACCACCACCACCACCACCACCACCACCACCACCACCACCACCACCACCACCACCACCACCACCACCACCACCACCACCACCACCACCACCACCACCACCACCACCACCACCACCACCACCACCACCACCACCACCACCACCACCACCACCACCACCACCACCACCACCACCACCACCACCACCACCACCACCACCACCACCACCACCACCACCACCACCACCACCACCACCACCACCACCACCACCACCACCACCACCACCACCACCACCACCACCACCACCACCACCACCACCACCACCACCACCACCACCACCACCACCACCACCACCACCACCACCACCACCACCACCACCACCACCACCACCACCACCACCACCACCACCACCACCACCACCACCACCACCACCACCACCACCACCACCACCACCACCACCACCACCACCACCACCACCACCACCACCACCACCACCACCACCACCACCACCACCACCACCACCACCACCACCACCACCACCACCACCACCACCACCACCACCACCACCACCACCACCACCACCACCACCACCACCACCACCACCACCACCACCACCACCACCACCACCACCACCACCACCACCACCACCACCACCACCACCACCACCACCACCACCACCACCACCACCACCACCACCACCACCACCACCACCACCACCACCACCACCACCACCACCACCACCACCACCACCACCACCACCACCACCACCACCACCACCACCACCACCACCACCACCACCACCACCACCACCACCACCACCACCACCACCACCACCACCACCACCACCACCACCACCACCACCACCACCACCACCACCACCACCACCACCACCACCACCACCACCACCACCACCACCACCACCACCACCACCACCACCACCACCACCACCACCACCACCACCACCACCACCACCACCACCACCACCACCACCACCACCACCACCACCACCACCACCACCACCACCACCACCACCACCACCACCACCACCACCACCACCACCACCACCACCACCACCACCACCACCACCACCTAATATTAACATATAATAATATATTTATATTTATATTTAAAATATATATAATTTTTAATATTAAAATATATCAAAAATACCAAGAATATTTATATTTGATACAGTTAATCCTATTATAGAATGACAAATAAACAATAATTCTTAAATTTTTCTTAATATTTTAATTTAATCCCACCACACTAATAAATTTCATACTAATCAGTGTGTTTGGTTTCAGTTTTCTAAAAATTAAGTTTTTTATTTTTTGTGTTTTTTTTATTTTTAGTGAATATTTTTTAATTTTTAAGAAATTTTTTTTTTAGATGTATTTTACTTAGATGTATCTAAATAGTAAATTATTTGTAAAAAAAATTAAAAAATTGATAAATGCACAAAAATATAAAAAATGTATTGAATTTTCGGGTTTTTTTTTTTTGTAGTGTTGGTATCTAATGAATTTTTTAAAGATTTTTTTCACAAATA